TTTCCTACCACAGCGGGGGAATAAAACTCGCCACTAATTTGGACTGCGAGCGCCACCGCTAACTTTCAGCATGTGCTGACTGACTGTGTCTTCCAGATGTGTGGACTCTTTGCTCCTTAACGGCCTTACTGAAGAGGCATTAGGAACCTCACACCCCTGGTGCTTGCTCTATATATATGTGTACGTACGCACGGCGAGTGATGATGGCGCTTTGGGATTCCGACACAGGCGCAAGAGTTTGAGGGAAGTGAAGACCTTACGTTGTGCCAGTGGGAATCTGAATGTGTTTATGCTCTTTGTGTAAATAGCTATAATCAAGGTGTTTCCACCGCTGAACTTGAGCTACCCCTCGCTTTCCCTCGCTGGTGGTGACAATTGATAACAGGTGTGCTTTTATCAGTGATGGGCAATGTTGCAAATCTTTTAAAGAACCTACAGTACGTGCTTATAATTAAAGTATACACGTGCATGGACCTTAAATGGGAACTTGCACATAAACCTTCTCCCACTCTGGAAACACTTCTCGGAGAAACCTTCAAGTAAACATGCGGATAAAATCCTCACATGTGTGCTCAGCTATCGCGGAGACATTAGTGCGTAAACATATCATATGCCCCTTTCAGACATAAACGGGGAAATTTTCGCTCCCATTTTCCTATTGAAAAGTTGTGTGTGTTTGCCTTTGGGGGAGGAAAAGTGGGGCTAGCATTAGGTGTTTGTGAAAAGAAAAAGAGATGGTGCTTGTTAGCCAGTCAGACAGGGGTAATCCTACTTGCCACACCGCTGTTGTTCCTTTCCTCTTATCTTATTAGCGTCCTGCCTCTGATTGGGTGGGATGGTCGCGAGAAGAAAATAAGGAGACAGCGTTTATGTCGTTTTTTTTTTCCCACCCCTTTTTTGCAGGCTGCTTCACCGCAAGAGATATTGGAAGCCTTTCATGGTGCAATTCCTTTTATTTCATCTACTTATTTGTCTTGAGCAATTATGCCAGGAGAGAACACTAGACACAGACAAACACGTGCTGAACGCGGGCTGCCTTTATGCTGGTCTACCACTTAAGTATAAATCAGGAGTGCTCCTAGAGCAATGCTGTGATATACATGCTACTAATACCGCCTTCTTCCTACACGCTACGCAATCAGCAACGATTTACTGTAAGCAGGAAAAAGGAGGGAAGGAAAAAGCATGGGTGCAAAGGTCACCGTCGCCTCTGTTTTTTACACTTTCATTTCTTTCAGTGTCAGTTTTCTTCACTTACCAAATCAGTCATCTGATTTCATTCACTCACTCAGATTTGAGATACAGATTTCTGGGTTGAATGGCTCCACCCCATTGCATGAGAAATGACTACTACTAAAAAAAAAACTTAAAAGAATAATAAAATAAAATACAAATTTTTTCTTTTTTACATTGTAAAAATTATCTCCATGTTAGAGACTTTTTTTGGTGAAGTCTGGAATTACCCAGACTACAGGGGACATTTAATTTATTTCTTCAGCACTTTGAGCAAACACACCCTCTAGATGAAAGGTTCATAGTTGTCCTTCTGGCCTTATTCATTATCTTTTATTATTATGTTACCTTATAAAAACTGTGTTTCCATCTATAAGAATGGAGAAGAAACATCAGCTCTGGCCTGGTCTTTTTTTTCTTGGGATGAAAGAGGGCTTGCACTGTCATGTCCATAGATGGCATTGAAGACAGGGGAGTTAACTGCTCAAGGCTAAGGGGCTACACTCTCCCCGTATACTGGCTTAATTCATTCTTTTCCAGAAAGCCCTCTTGCATGTGCCGGTCTTTCCCAGAGCAAAACAGAGCAAGCCAAAATGAAATAAAGCCTAAGATGTTATCAGGGTGATTGGTGCCAGCGGAGCTTGTCTGGGCCTGTGGTCTGGCAGGGCAGTGCTGGCCTGTACCAGTGATTGTATATGTGTGTGTGTGAGAGTATAGGTGTGAGTGTGTTTATGTGTGTGTGTGTGTGAACGAGTGTGTGTGTGTCCTAGAGGCACTGGATAGATGAAAGCTTTCTTTAACCATAAGCTATGCAGGAGCCGTGCCAGGAGCAGGAAATGTATCAGCGTGATAAGAGACAGAGAGAAAAACGAAAAAGAGAAAGAAAGAAAGGAGAGAGGGAAAGAGGTCTGGAGCCAAACTCAGCCCTTCATAAAAATGTGTTAGGTGCACTGGCGGCTAATGCTAAAAAAATTTGTGAGTGCAGACACACTGAAAATCCCACAATCAGTAATGTGTGACTAGATAAAAGCCACTTGACACAGGATATATCCATGTATTAACGCTGCTTATTGGCTAGAAATAAAAAAAAGAAAGAAGGAAAGTCACTGTTAGCCCCTGTAGTAAGGTACCACTGATCGGGGACTTCAAGTGTGAACACAAAGCAAAACTGAACCTATTTAAGAGCACCAATAATACGTGAGACATTAGAAAATAATCACCTTATCACGGTAAAACTACGATGTAATTATCAAACTTTTTGAAACCAGTCATTTATCTGTAAATTTAAAAAAAAATCTTGAATTAAAAAAAATTGAAAATGAATTTTCTTTTTAAACTCTTTGAGAAATATTTGTTCTCATTTTGAATTTGATACCAGACTAGCAGAGGACAACCCTCTGGAATTCCTTTGGACTGCTGCAGCTTTGAAAGAAACCTGTTTAATGATTCCTGATTGTGTTAAGATTTGAGCTGCTTAACAGATTCCATGATTTTTTCTCTCATAATGTGCCGAGTGTTTTCTGTGGGTGGCAGGAAAGGACGAACACTACTGTCGAGTTACGCTGTTGGAATGCATGCACGTGTGCCTTGACATTTTCTTGCTGAAATAAGCAAGATCTTCTTTTTAAGAGATGCTATCAGGATATAAGATGCTTCAAACCCTCTATTTAAGAAGGAGTGACTTTTGCTGCTCCACAGCGGGTGGCTCCGCATGGCTTGTTTTGGCAGATTTCTGACCTTCGTGATGCGACCCCAGAGGGACGTACGATTCAGTATTAATGGGGCCTTCATGTTTGTGCAGGTTATCCAGTCCATGTCCAATAATGCAGTCATAAATCCCGTTATGTTTCTTTCACTTTTGCAGTTATTTCCACACCAAAATCATTGGATTTTTAATGCAGGAGCTGAAAATTACCCCATTTAGTAATGTGTGTAAACATATGTACACACATTTAGCAATCCTAGATAATGTTTTCAATTTCATGTAATTCTGACATTTGTGGACTATTTGTCCATACAGTCTTTCGTAGGCATGCTCTCTCTGGGATGTACTTTTTATACCTAATCATATTATTTATTTACCCTATTAATTGTGAGATAATCCACTAGGTGCTAACCTTTTCCTGCCGCATGCCAAAATCTTTTGAAAGATGCCATCAAATTTTAAAGCTTGTGAGTTTATATATTTTACAATCAAATTCCTCAGTTTCAGTATTTATCATGCTGTCATTTGTGAATCGATCACATTACCAGTTAAAATGTGTATTTTGAAAACTCAAAGAAATGCCAGTGAAGTGTGTCAAATACACGCTCCTGAATCCATTTAATATTTGTTCAGACATTTTACTGCCTAACATAAACCAAAACTCAAGTCAAAAAAGACTTAAAACAAAACACCACCCTGTCATGCTGCCCAAACACTGGCCAGCACATTTCTCAATTACATTCTGGTTAAAGTAAGTCATCTCTTTTCCGCTGACAGCACGGCCAATGCATTCAGCCTCTCCTGGGTTACAGGACAGGAAAAGTCTGAATTCTTGTGGAGGTTGAAAATACCTCAGAGCTTCTGCTGTCGTCACAGATATGGTGTAGGGCTGGGAAATACGGATCAAAAATCACTCCTCTGCATTGTCAGTCTGAATGGTGATACAGGATATGTGAATCTCAGCATTTACTGCCAAAGTTAATGTGAGTGTTCACGAGCGAAAATCAATATCACACAACATATTTAGTTTTTGTTTTTTTGCCAGAAGCTTTTTCAATTTTCATTTTACATACGTCACCATCATTTTTTACAATAACAACCACTTTACTTTGTTTTCACTCCTTTAGGCATAGTTTGGTTCCTTTGAAGTGGGGTAGTATGAGGTACTTATCTATAGTCAGTTTATTCCCTACAGCGAATGAACGGCACACAGAAGAGCTGCTTCTTAAAACTTACATCAATTTAGTGTGCACTATATTTAAGGGCATGTTTACCACAAACAGCCCATTTAACAAGCAGCTAAAGCTATTATATTGCTCTTGTCAAAGCCTTTAGATTCCACTAACAAAAGCTTGCAGAACATAGAGGTGCTGGGTCGTTGGGTTGTGAGATTCTTGTTCAGATTTATCGACTAAATCTTTGGAGAGAGCCACTGCTTTCTTGAGACCCATTTGGTATGTAAAGGCATGTGCAAATTAAAAACCTCCAGCCAGTGATATTGTTCACATTGGACAAAGAAGTCAATAGTCCCATGTGGTATGACATCAGTGAGTCTAAACAGGCACTATGGCAGCTGGCACGAGATCAAGAAGTCAAAAAACTATATTTAAAAAAAGGATTTAATGGTTTTGCTGTGGTGACATGAACCATTGTCGAGTCCTAGTGAGAAAAAGTCTAATTCTTCATGGTGTTTGTAGTGGGAAGAACCTTTGTCAACTAACATGTTGTTAGCGTATGCCTTTAAACTCTGAATTGCTACTTATTGCACTGACTTTTGCTTTCCCACCATGCTGCAGGAAAAAAATTATGAGAGATGCAAAGGAAGGGGTAGAAGTTGGAGAGATACAAACACTGGCATAGTTTTATGGGATAAACAGATCATCTCACCCAAATTTAATTTTAACCCTAATTTAAATTTGACACCTTATCCAGCCCTAGTGCAGTGACGAGATCAGCGTAGATTGACCGTCTCTGAAAACTCTACTTCAAGGTTCTTCTACAGAGACAGCCTTCATGGATCATCAGCAAACAGGTGGTGAGCTTAGCCTTGCCTTCAGCTTACCTCCACTGAGGCCTTCAGGGTGTTTCTCAGGAAACGCCATCTTGTACCGTTCAAATCTTTCAAACTGTGGCAATAACAAGGTGGTGTGTGAAGGAGAATCAGTCCCTATTGTGTCCCAGTCTGGCACCGCAGACCTACACAGAAAAGAATAAAAACACCATATTATGCAGTGCAGATAAAATATTCTCCATTTAAAAATGACCATCCATCTACCTATTCTTCTTCTCAATCTCTTATCTTCTTCTCGCCTGGAAAAATTGCCTGTCAATCACAGAGCTGACACAGAAAGGCAATCATTTGTGCTCACCTTCACACCTACAGCCAATTTAGAACCTTCCATGCATGTCTTTGGACTGTGGGAGGAAGCTGGAGAACCCTACACCACTAAAACTCATCCTCTCATTGGCAGAGAACCTGCACAGAACACTGTCAGCAGGTCTGAATCATGCCTGTGTTGTTGTGAGGTGACAGGGCTAACCATACCTCCACCATGCTGCTGATGACCAACTAACGGTCAAGTATTCATCTACACATGGAATAACGCAATTAGATTTTACTGTTACAGTTTATAAACAGGTAAAGTAAACTTGAATAAATAGATAACTTTAACATAGTTTGTCAGGTGATTTTGAAAATTTGTGAGGAAATGCTTTTTATTTTCCATCTTCAATCTTTCAAAGAGAAATACAAGCAGATGATTAAAACATCCTGCCACAGAACAGATGTAGGCATCAAAGCCTCAATTAATGTGGGGTAAAACAAATCATTGTTCTATGTTAATATTTTGTCAAAGCTAAGGAAAAGAGACTGTTGCTGTTCTGCAATTCCATTTTTTTAAAACTGAGATTATGTCCCACTTTGCAGTAAGATATGCAAATGTTGCACATAACTGCTTAAATCCTGCAGAAAAAAATGTATGTACATACATTTTACTTTTAGGATTTTACTTTACAAAAAAAAAATACATATATATATATATATATAAACACGGATTTAGTTTATATATATATAAACTAAATCCGTGCAAACATTAGATTAGTTAGATAATACTTCCTAATAATATAGGATAAAATTTTCCAGTTAGTCTCTGGCTGCCTTTAACCTCTTAACCATGTAAAAATGGCCAACACCATTTTCAGAATTGTGTATTAGTATCTGTCCACTTACGCCCACTATTAGTGATTACATGGGCTAGATAATTATTTGAACAGATTAACCTTATTCAGCCTCTAATGCTCTGCTCTATTTGTGTCTCCCCTCACCTGTGCTTAGCGACATATAAGCCCACACCTGTCATTTGTTCCTTCTGTTTTAGAATTGTTAGCTCTTAATTTGGTACAGATTAAAATCCTCTCGAAACCCTAAACACTGACCAGAGGATTGTCCAGGCTCCTGTTCTTCATGTTATCTGCCTAATAAAAGCTAGACTGACACCTCTTGCTACTTTTCTGCCATCTAATTACACAGAATATTAGTAGTTTAGCCTCTGTTAGCTTGCTGAATAGCATTAGCACTTAGCATTATTTACGAAGCCTTTGCTACTTAGACTTTACCTGAAATGTATCCATAAATGTCTTCTGCCAGCATTTTGAAACAGCTCGAGTGCAGTCTTTGTTCTCCACAACTGCAGGCTTTGTAAACTATCCTTTCTGGCAAGATAACATTTAGAATTTTTTACTCTGGAAAAAATGTTGTATGCACCTGAAATTTCTTAGCTTAGCAAAGTACCCAAGGTCAGCTAATCTACAGCACATCTATGTCTACTCTCTCCCTACCTGCAAAGGCTGCTGCTTATAGGAGCCAGTGGCAGAGTTATAGAATTATATTGAAAAGAAAAAAAACTCTACTCAGACACTCCTTATTGTTGTGAAGCAGCAACACCAAGATTTCTCATTTATGTAGTAACTTCCAGGAGGCCTTACCAAGATCGTCTATTTTGAATTACTTTAGCACTACCAAAGATTACATGAGCTGCAATCTTCAGAAATTAATATTACATTTGACATAAATTACTTGTAAAATATTAGAGAGGAAAATATATAATATTACTTAAAATATAAAAAAGACAACATTATATTCATGTTATAAAAATGGAACAGTGATTTTGATATTGGCAAAATATAAGTTAAATCACAAAAGGCATGAATTAACTCTAGTCATGCTCGCAGAAATGATAGTACAATGTATTCAACATTAATAAAATGGGTTAGCAATGATTTAATACACTGAATTTCCACAAAATACTTTTAAAATGTTTGAAAAAAAATTAGTATCCTGTTTTGACTTGTCCTTGTGTCAGAAGAAGTCTTCGGTAGATTATGTGGTTTCGATGAACTGTAGTTATTTTTATTTTTTTCAGATCTTCGTGCTTACATTTTTTTTACATGAGGTAATTTGAGAGGCTCTGTTTTTAGACACAATGTGGGACAGGAGATGGTTTGACATACAGAGGCATTCTTCAGAACTGATAGGAGATAAAAAACAGAATTCCCCCTGGAGACATGACAGCTACAACTACAAATAACGTTTAGCATTTTGCCGCTGGCCTTTACTGGATCACAAGACATTATATAGCTGGGAGAGATGCATAAATACATGGGGGGGGGGGGGCACAGAGGCTGATTGGTTTTAATTCATTTATTTGCATATAGAGACAGTAATAATGAAAATAAACTTTACTGATATCTTGTTTTTTGTGTGCAGTGGAGTGTAATTAATTTGATCTCAAGTATCAAACTCCAAATATTTTCCCTTTCTGTTGGTGAAAAAAGTACAAAACCTTCAATAAACTTTTACATTTACCAACCATCCATTTACACAATAGCTGATAAACTGAAATGTTTTAAGAAAAAAAAAGCAATTTTAAAACTATGTTGCAGTTTTTTCCACATTCCATGACCCTTTTATCTTTGAAGGCAAAAAATCTCAACATGTAGAGATTTGGAACATTTTTCCTTTAAAAAGAAGATCTTTAGAAAAAAAAAATATTTTCCGTACATGCTCACTCCTATGCTGTAATGCTGGCATCAGTGCGTTTTTTCGTGATAAATCACAGTGATACACACGAGGTATACACAGTGGCATCTGTGGCTCAACATGCTGGTTAAGGGAATAGCATAACAGATCTCAAATCATCCCCTGTAGACGCCTGCATGCATGTGATGCTTCGGGGCCCTTTACGGTCACGTTTAATTGCATTTTGGGTAGTGCTAAGCATGATTTTTCAAACCCCAGGTTTAAATTTGTGAATTTTCCCAAATGTATCCAAGAAGTTCACAAAAAAAAATGCAAAGCACGAATCCCTCAAAACGAACATCACTCAACTGAAAAATGGATGCTTTAGCTGAAAAAACAGCCCAACAAGATAACAGCAGAAGAAAAGGTAAACAGCCAAATGGAAACAAAGGGCAAATAAGGGCAAAGCAAACACCTCCGAAATGAGACGCGTACCGCTGTTTCCTGTTTGATAAAATGGCCGCATGTGACTATGATATGAGAGCGTGTTGGAAAACCCAACTATACCACAAATCTAAGAGAAGCCCGTCAGCTTTAAAGCTTTCTAAGTTATATCTCGTTTATTTAATCCATATGAGCTGAAGTGTGAAAATGACTGCCCAAGCTCCCCGTTTTTCCGCTGTGCTGAGTTTTTCTGTTAACCAAGTGCACAATTTCCTGGCTTTAGCCTCATATTTGATGAACAAATATGTACACTACCTTTCGACCCCGAGTTAGATAAGAAAAATGTAAATCTGTGGTCCAACTTTACCCCCCGTAACACAACTTTAGTGAACTAGCACTAATTACATGCAATCGTTGTTGTAATCTCTCTTGTTGCCTCTGCTTTGTTCCTGAAATAGGGGAACAGAATTGATCGTTTATATAGAAAAGGTGTTCATTAATAGTAACTCAGATCACGAAGGTCTTCTCCTTTGTGGCATGCAAGAGGCGAGTTTTATAGTAAGGTAATTAGATTGGAAGGACTTGTGTTCCATTCAAGGCCATGCTGGTGTCTTCCTGTGGGCTGTTAGTTACGCGGGTTCTTGGCTCCAGTGGGCAGAAGCCAGCTGGGAATCATTACTACTGCTGAAAGAATATTTCACCCCGTCACAGAATGGTAGACCGAGATATACACACAATAACAAGGGGCGCATGCATGCAAACACATATAGGGCACATGGAATGCCACATAGATACACATACATCACAAAACCGAGGCACAGAAGCAACATTGCAAAAGATATAATGTCTGTCAATGCAGATGGCTCATCCTTGGGAGACATTTGCAAAAGGATGTGCTCTTTAATACAAGTCAGGACAAACACTACATTTCAGCATGTTCGCCATATTAAAGCTCACATTTTCACATCATTTTATAATGCCTGCATTGTTTTAATTATGCACATTTTGCTCACATGTCACAAGTCAATTTGCTATTTAGCGCCGCTGAATAGCAAATTGGCTCTGTGGACAAAGTGTCCCTGTGGGTATAAGTGAAACTCATTTGGATGTAAAACCTCCAACGAACCGGTGATATCTGCCGTTTGCTCCTCATGTCTGAGACAATACGTGAAAATATTCAGGATGTTTCTATTTTAAGACATCGTAAAAGTATGAGTAAAAAAACATTTACACCCATAAATTGTGACCGTGTGATGCAATTCAAGTCTCGTCTCAATTCTTTGTAGTTTCGCTTGCTGTTTCAGTAGATTACTGTAAAACTGATTGGGTAAGTTTAGGAAAAAAATTAATTGCTTGGGTTTGTTAGAAAGCTCAGTTTTCTAGGTTAAGAGTGTTTAGAAACTTGCTCCGTGTGAAAATGTTGACACGGGCGAGCATTTTACTCATTCACGTGGTGGCTACAGGTGGCTAAACTTTGAAAACAACTTGAGGTTGTAAAAACCGCCTTCGCGAATGACGTATTTGCCCATTTTAGAGGGAAGGACATTTTCAACAAACCTTGTGCGAATCCACTAACTCAATTTCTCAATTTGTTTGTGAAAGTGGTTTTTGAGTTCTCGTATTATTTCTGTTGGAATTTTCCCTTCATCACCCCCACCCGGTGACGCCGCCGCTACTGGGTCCTTTTTTGCTGTTTGTCTGTTTTTCGCGCTTCTGTGTCATGGTAAAATGGGTAGGAGATGGAACAAGAGATTAAAGTGGATGTAATTTTTGCCTGAAAATTGAAATGCATGTGATAAAGACAAAGACAAAACAACAAAAACAAAGTGCGATTCTGTTTTCTTTCCACGCTGCGTGCAGTCCTACTTTTTCCACTTCTTTTCCTCTCCTCCCTCCTTCAATCCCCTTTTCCATCTCACTCCGACTTTCTTGCATCTTCTTTCAACCACAAGCACGACTGAGTGTCATCCATTTGTCATCATCACGTGATAGACAGCAGACCCCACAAGTGTGTTCAAAGACCCCCAAAACACACACACACACACACACACACAGGCGCTGGGACCAGTTAGGAGCTGATAGCGATGAGTCAGGCTTAGAGAAATGGCACAGAGGGCTTAGCTAATGCACTTTATGGAGCTCCCTTTTTCTTTTTATTCTCCCCTTTTACTTTATATCGTTCCCTCTTTCTCCCTCTTTGTCCTAGAACCTGAGCCAAAGTCATAGCTCTTTACTGACGGAGAGGTCTTGCCAGTTATTTTTCACAGCGTGTCCTCCGTGCCCTGGCTGGGATAGCTTGCCTCATGGCGGTAACATTCTCCCTCAGTCGTGCTACATGAGAGCCTCCTCCACTCATGCATTGCTGTGCAGCTGGACCTAGTCAGTGTGTGTGTGCGTGTCTGTGATCAAGTTGTTGGAGATACCCGATCCCTTATATTGTTCATTTGACCCACATAGCAAAAGGCATGAGGGTCAGGGTGGAGTACCCAGATAGCATGTACAGGTGCTTAGTGTGTGCGTGAGAGAAAAAGAAAGACAGGGAAAAGAGAGAAAACACGCAGACAAGTGAAGAGATTAAAAAAAGAAAGGAGGCCATAGTAAAACACATCATAATAAATATTTATATATATTTTGTGTGTGGCTCTGAGTTTGCCACAATTTAAAAAGAGTGCTGTTTCTTTAAAATCCCATCTGAGGCTGTCAGGCATTTCAGCTGGTCATATTGGCTGCAGACACATACACACACACAGATGTATATGGTTAGCAGGCTAAAGCTGGTTTGAGTTAGCATGGAGCCAGCCACACTGTGTGAGAGCCTTACCCCCTGCCTACTACTGCCACCCTCCACAGTCTCTCCACTTATTTCTTTCTTTCCATCTCCCTCTTTCTTTACCCACCTATGTGTGACTGTCAGCGGGGGCTGTACTGTAGTTTACCGTCCAAACTCCCTATCTCCTGTGAAGCAGACACACACACACAGGCTTCCACAGTTGATCTGCGTGGCCCTGTGTCTCCTGATTAGTCTGCTTCATGACAAACAAGCCATCAAGAGCAGAAAGGGAGTGCAGCACAGAAGAAGGAGGAGGAGGAGGACGAGCGAGAGGGATAGTTGGGAGAAGTGAGGAGGAGGAGGAAGAGGAGGAGGAGAGGAGCAGAGGTTTGTGGGGGGGCAAGGGGTGAGGTGAGGAGGCTGGGACCCCTGGGGACCCCTAGATCACAGCCATGCTAATGAGAAGCTGCTTTGCCAGCAGCAGAGGTGTCAGCTAACCCCTGACAGGTGCACACATGCGTACTCCCAGGGCTTGTGCAGGCGTGTGCACGCGCATCAGAGGCAGTGTG